GGCCTCTTTTTCACAGGTTACTGGTAAATCTACGGTACAGATTTATCTCTGGTGATAAAGTTTTGGGTAGAATAAATTAAAACCGTAGCACAATTAGAACCCTTGTTGTAATAAGGTCACATCTGCAAAGTGAACTTATCTGGAGAGATTTTTAAAGATTCCACGAACGACATTAGTCGCTAACTTTTTTAAGCTTAAATAGGAGAGTTATAAAATTTCACATTATGCAAAATTTCTTTCATGTATTTCGTATTATTTTTATATCGTTAATGTGGTAAAAGCACTTTTGACGTGTGATGACATGTGGCTTTATTGTACCAATAGTACGACTTTGTCATATAATTTATATATAAACTATTATATTTTGAATTATAGTAACTGTAGCGAATTGCAGCCGTCGCTACAAATCTCTTTTGTATATATATTTTATAAAAGTCTTTTTAAGTTTAGTTTTATTTTTAAATTCTAAATTTAAATGTGATTGTTTTTAGCGCCTGTTTTTTACTATTTTTTATTATTATTATTATTTGGATTGATAGGTGTACGTGTTTTGTAATAAATTAATAAACTGTAAGCACAGGTACTTTAGTCTTGCTCACTCGTTGATAGTACCCGCCCGAACCCATTGATACAGTCAGCTGAATTTATCTTGTTTTTAGTTTTCTTTCGTAACATATTATGGATATTGTTATTTTGGTCAGGAATAATAGAGTTGTTAATATCATTACGCTATAAGCATTGCAATTATGATTAGCACATTGAGAGCGAGTTCCGCCAGTTCCGACCGATATAACGACGTCTTTCCTTTTAGAGCTCATGTATAGATCATATTGTATAATTAGCTTTAACGTTGGAGTGAGTCACCTGTATTTTGGATAAGCCTCTTTTAAAAACTCTTTTAAACCTCTTGTATAGTACAAGTAAGAAAGTCAAAAGATGAAACACGCATATTCGTTTTGTAATAAATAATTGTATGTATTTTTATTTCTGGCACATTGATAAGGATGGAAATGATATACCTGCACGATAAAAGGGATGTTGCAATTGAATTTATTTGTAATATGTTTATTATTATTACCACGTTTTGCGTTTTCCTTATTCAAAGGATTTCCTTTGTTTTTTTATTGTTCAAAATAAAAACCAATGTGATAAAATGCACAGTCCTATTCCACAGATAACATTTATTTTTAACAAATTACGTTATTGCACAATCTATTCTAGCTCAGTTGTATTCAAGAAATTGTCATGACATTTAATAGATAATGCATTATGCAACATGAAGAAAAATGGCTAAAATCAGAAGCTGTTGAAAGATTGAACTGTACAAGAACATGTAATCCAATCGCGTATCCCACAATACTGATAACAGATTGAATATTCATGAAACACATACTTTAGAGCGCGTTTATTCGCCACGAAATTCATCGCGCTGACGCCGCCGCGCGGTCACCGCTCAGCGACCTCGTGTATCTAACTGTCATGGCAAAATGCGCTTTATTTATTTAGCTTTTACGTTTTAACTTAAATGAGCGTCCTGGGCGCGCGGGTGAGACTGGCTTGTCTTTGGTCTGCGCGGCGACCGCCCGGTTGTATTATTAAATGTTGTTACCTAGTAAATAGAATTTATATTCGCCATTAATGTACGTGAAAGCGTGGTAACTGGGCGGTCGCCGCGCGGCGCCCGTGCGAATACTTTCGCGTCGTGTAACTGGGCACTTGAGGGACTTATTTGATGTGACAAACGAGATTTAAAAAGTGATGGTTATACAGCTGTAGTAAAAGTTGTTTACCGATTAAGGCCGACAATGGTAGCAGTAGAGCTCCTTGTGAAAGAGCTCGTCCAGGGAAGGACTGCCATCTTACTTATTTCTACCGTCAAGCAGTAATGTGAACATTACTGCGTTCCAGTTTTGAAAGGTAAGGTTGCTGGTGAAATTACAGGCACATGAGACTTGTTAACTTATGTCTCAGGGTGACGGGCGCAGTGGGAGTGTTTTTTATATACTTTTGTATGCTATCAAGTGATGGGACGAACGAACCGTGCGCCTGATAGTAAGCGACACGCCGATCCATAATAGTTGAAGCGCCAATCAGTGGTTTCAATCGCAAAGATCTCACTCTGGGACATAAAGAAAGAAGAGTGGATTTATTTTCAGAAAAACCTTCGATGTTAATAGGCATAACCTTCAGAGTTGGTTTTAGGAACGAATGCTCTGGAATCTGTTATCTGTTGGGTGTAAGTCGGTTGAAGCGTCGTGTTGGAAAGATTAGCCATTTGTTACCTGGGGGCCTGAGGCAAAATTGACAAGTCCCATGTGCCTGCAATTTCACCAGCACACATACCCTTCGAAACCTGAACTGCTATGGACGGGCGTGTCGCTTTACACCAGGCGCACGACTTCTTCACCCCCTCTCTCGGTATCATAAAAAAAGTAAAAATAAAAAATGTGCAAAAATAAATTTATAATTACATATAACAATAATTATTTAGCCACTGGACTTTGTGACCTACAGTTAAAAGATTACATTAGAAAGAATATTTGATGTAGACTTTTCTTGAGCAGTTGCTGATGAAAATATTTTTCGAGTTCTTAGGCTTTTTTTTGTAATACCAACTGCACTGCCTGTGTCTGCCTGCACACTGCCACTGCGCCCGTCACGTCACCCTAAGACATAAGTTGACAAACAAGTCCCATATGCCTGTAATTCACCAGCACCCTTTCTTACTTACTCTTCAAATCGGAACGGGGTAATGCTCACATTACTGCTTGGCAGCAGAAATTGGTAAGGTGGCAGTCTCGAACTCTTTCACAAGGAGCTCTACTGCTACTAAGGTTTTGGCGACAGTTGCACATAGGAAATGAAACTGTGGTGCATCGAACTTTTTTCTTTCATTTTCGATAGAAAAAAAAACGTAAAAAAAACGTTCAACTACGCGATTTGTCGTACGTTATTTGTGAAATATAAATCCGTTGGTGTATTTTATTCTTGTTGACATAAAAATTGACAACAATAACTAATTATGTTTATTAAATTATTTTAATTCGTCGAAGAACTAAAGTGATTCGTTATGGTTCAACTGTTTTTCTTTCATATACCACTTTCCTCGCTATAGTGAGGTGAAAAGTTGAGTGTTTCCCTCGGCAGCAAAGTTGTTTACGTCTCGTGTCTTGAAACCCTCGCTACGCTCAGGATTCTATTTTTGAGAATCCTCCGCTTCAATACAAGCACTCGCGTCAAACATCGACTTTGCAGCCTTGCATAACAAATAACTGTTTTCTATTTTATTTGTTTATTTATAAGGCATCAACAAAGTACATTATAAATACATTATAATCTAGCCAAATAAGTAAATGACTTATAATTCACTTAATCTAATAACTAAACATATTAACCTAAGAATTTACCCACCGGCAATTTTCTTATCTATAATATAAATGAAAACAAATGGTTATTAATTACAATTGTCATTAATACTTTTTCTAAAGTCCGTACCACCAAAAGTATTAAACAAGATTAACTATTTATGTATATTATGTGACATTGATTTAATGAAATGTTTTTTTATTTATTTTAATAATCATAAGACATGATTTCACGTGGAATAATATTCAGGGGTATATATTTAGAAGCACGCTAAAAAAGGTTGAATTTTACGATAACAATGGTTCATAAAGGCCACTGGCCACATTTACCAGCCCCTGAAGCGTGCCGCCGCGATATTGGTATTATATTCACATTTAGCTGTCAAATTTGAATGATAAAACCGCCACTTAAAATTTTAATTTGTCATATCGCGAGTGCCGCGACCAATGGCTGCAAAAGAATATCGCAGTGCCAAACATGGCCGCAAGGTCACATTTTGACAGTTCTGCAGTACAATTTAACAATTTTATCAACGTAAAAATTAAGCACGATAGAACGTGTCACATGAACGTGAACGACACAAAATGAAAAACGTGAGAAGAACATTTTTAATACAGTTCAGTACATGAGAGTAATTAGAAATACGTAAATAATAACTTGTATAAAGTAAATTACGTAAAAACTGAAACTCAAAAACCCAACATTTTACCGATTCTGTATTCGCAATTAAGAAAATAAATTTTAATAATGGCAATATAGCTTTCTTAACTGAAATGAATATGTCACGGGGAGGTTTATCGCACATTGCATTTAATATACTGCCATGCTACGTCCACTGAACGTATAATCGAAATCAAAATACATATGGAGAAGCGGTAGGCGGCAACTACAAAGAAAGCACTTGGAAATAGCACTCTAAGGGTCGTATTCTAGAACTCTATTCAATGCTCAAGTCAGGATTGCACTGGCAACACAAGCACTGGAAATACGACCCTAATGGCAGGGACTTGAGTATGATATCAAGTGCTTTAAACCATACTCAAATCCTAACTTGAGCATTGAGTAGAGTTCTAGAATACGACCCTAAGGCTCGTAGTTGGGTTTTTGAGATCCACATTATAGTAAAACGGGTTACCCCTAATTATCATATTTTGATATTTAATTTTACGGTAAACACCGTTACTGTCCATGAACGGGATAAGAACAATTTTGTGTCTGTTATATTTAAATTTTATTTTATCTTTTTTTATATTTATATGCATTACTTTATCTTTGAGTTTACTTTTAAGTCGTGCTGGACGCTTCGGCTAACGCTGTAAGTGCACAAGAATGGTTTCTTTATAAAAATATAAATATAGTGTACTTTCATGCATTTTTCAATGATGTAAAGTACAGTCAAGAGCACGGCAAGCTTGACACTCTCTACTTTGGACTCACAAATCTGCTCATTAGTGTCTACCAGAGAGAAGACCATGAAAAGAGTATACTATAATGAGTTGGATAACTCACTTTACGAAAATTCACACACTGATTTCTGTCTCGGACCCTTTAATATCATATTAACTATAGAACCATCGAGTTCAGTAATGTGTTGATAATAAATATGTATGTTAATGCCTGTGTTGTGTTCGCAGTTGTGGACAGACGAGCTGTTCGGGTTGGCGTACAACTTGAACCAGTTGAACAACCCTACCATTAAGTTCCTCGAGAAGCTCCATACGAAAATAACACTCAAAGCGGACAAATCCGGCAAGATACTTGTGAAGAAGTAAGTATATTTTATTGTCTTAAGACTTTTACTTTTTTTTTCTGAAACCAAGTGACGAGACGAACAAGTCGTGTACCTGTTGGTGAAGCGTCACGCCTGCTCATAGCAGTTGCATTGCCACTCAGTACTTTGAATCGCAAAGATCTGACCGTCAGTTTTGCGTCACTTTTGTGACGTTGCCACTGTGTCCATCATCCTGAGACATAAGTAAGTTGACAAATTACATTTGCCTGTAATTTCACCAGCACCCTTTAAAAACGCAGTGCTGCCGTCCACTTACTAAAACGTGGCTAAGTGACCAATAGTCAAATATCCGTTTTAAGTAGCAAAAGATAGAGCACAAAATTCGCTTTTAAAAATAAAAATAAAAATTTAAAATTAGTTAACGTGATCGACTTACCGAAACTTACCCTAACGATGCATAGCTGAAATATCATTAAACAAATTTTTTTATGATATCGCACTGTTAATGCAATAGTGTATTAAGTCAAAAAGTGTATTTTCTGAGAATCGATGAAAAACTAATTATTCACTTCCCGTAAATATCATTAAAACAACGACGAATGAGTCGTGCGCCTGGTGGTAAGCGACACGCCTATCCACAACACTTGCAGTGCCACTCGGAGCTTTAAATCGCAAGGATCTTAGGGGCAGTGCCACTGCGCCCGTCACGTTGAGATGTAACTTACAAGTCCCATGTGCCTTTCACCAGCACTTTACCCTTCCAAACCGGAACGCAGTAATGCCCACATTGACAGCGTCAAACTAGATGGCGGAAAAAAAATTAAGGTTTAACATAATAGTAATGTGAAATTTGTGCAGCGACTGCCAAAATATATCGTAAATGTGACTGTGCTTATTATATAGTCTGGAGAGCCTTGGGATACAGGAATTAAAGCCCAGTACGGTCTTACGGAATGGTGGCACTAAAAGAGCAATAGCAAACCTAGGGTAGGGTAATAATCCAGCTATCAGTTCCTTAACATACCTCCTGTATAGTGCTACATTTTACGAATTGATTCTTCTTAAATTAAAACAAACAATACGTAACTTTCTGTTTATTGGTGTTATCCTAAAGTCAATTACTTTGGCATAATTATCTAAACAATTGTTTAGTTTTCACCTAATACATATAATGTAACGAACTTTGTACAATGTAGGTTAGAATTGGCCATAAATTTGATTATTTCGTAACTATGGAGCACTTGGGTCCGTAGGTGCGCCCTGTCCTAGTCATTAATCACACGACTGTTACAATTTTAATTAAACAGAGGCTAGTTTTTTAGATAAACATAATAATTTTAATGAACATTTGACATGCCGGCTGAAACGCGATAAGAATTATTTTTCCTGTCGGGAACGCGGTCAAGTACGAGACTCGACCGCGATCAGTGTTCCGTGCATGGTGCTAATTTTCTTGCCATCACTCGTCATTTATGCAGTAGAACACGGATGAGTCAACCTAGCAGATAATAAATTCGAATGTGTTGAGAACGTAAACAACATTGACGTGACTGCTAGTAAACTTATTGATAGTTTCGACGACTTTACGACGTTGGGTGTATTTGTTACACGTAGTACGGCTTTTACCTTGTGTCTTTAATTAGGTTCGTTTTTTTAAGATTTTTTTAAAAGGAAATAAATGTGCTAGAACTTAATGAGCGATCTGCTAATCTATCCAAATAAAAATAGGTCCTAGTACAGAGTTTTGTAATTTCATTATGAGAATTTTCGTTTGTTATCAAAGTAAAATAAATTTATTCGTTTTTCAACGGAAATAATTTATTTTGCAAAGTACAATTGTAATGGCTGGATAGAAGGATTCTTTAACCTCTAACGTATAAAGTTAGTTAAATGTATCTTTTCATGTCATTAACTTGAAAAATGGCAATAAAATGAAAAATTCTTCAAAATTATGTTTTTTATGATACTAAATGACTTGACGAAGAATTTATGCGCCTGGTGGTAGTTGACACGCCTGTAAATAACAGGCGTGTTTTTGATATTACAGTGTATTTATTATTTGGTTTGACACGGTAGTAATAACGGTTATATTTTCAACGGATTAACGAACAATGTCACGTAGACTTGTTTATACTAAAATAGAAGATTGAATATACAAAATGTAATTATGTAAAAAGCATTACGCAATTGAGTTAATTGTTTAAGTATCTTTTTTAATAGAATATTCAATATATAACCTGTGACATGAAACAATTAAAGACAATGCGGTCGCGGTCAATTGTTCCACGAAGCATTTCCTGGCGGAAATTGTAAAAATTACGTACTATTTTGTTAGTTAAGATTTGCACATGATACGAAGGCTGCCCCTGATTAGTGCGTAGAAACAAATATTTACTACAGAAGTACTGATATAGATAACTTCTGGGATGGAATGTGAAGATTTGTATTCTAGAATAATAAACTTATGTTTATGGCGCCACGACGTTGTGCCACTTCGTTTAAAATTCCGTATGAAGGCAATGATGTTAGCACCATACGGCTCAGTTAGATATTGTGCAAATATTACTATCACATACTGTTTTTTATATTTCTTTAATATTTTAAAATTATACATTATATTTCACAATTATATTTATTAGTGATGACCCAAATCACTATCACCACGTTTAAGTTATTGACCGGTTCATTGGGTGCACGTTTGGTATAATATATTCGAATAATAATTTCCACTAGTTTGTTGTTATTACTAAGGGAGTATTTTCACAAAAAAAAAAAAAAAACATGAATGTCATGGTAGTAAAAACATCACGATATTCAATAAAATAAATATGATAATGTCCAGTCCGCCTCTGTCGCCAAAACGCACACAAATAAATGATAAACACAATGAAATCTTGATAACGATTAGTGGCAAATTCTGGACTGTTAATATAATTTCAAAATTGTAATAATATCCCGTCGCTCCACCATTGAAAGTTTAATACCTTTATTGCAAGTTACGACGTTTAGATTTTATATTGAAATTATATTCATCTTGCTGCCATTTTGCGGCTAGTAGCTGGAGTACGTTGCGGCTATCATTTTTGCACTCCAAAACAGCGCAATACGGCATTTTCTATGGTTTTATATGATTGCACGAAAGAATTAACACTGACTGAGCTCAGTAGGCGGAACTACGCCTACAGTTGGCACGCTTGTTACGCTCACTAACCACTTCTACTATATTGTTGCTCTGTATAGGGACTGTATGAGAATAGAGTGAAGAAGCGGACATAAATGAGCACAAGAATAGGAGAAACGCAATGTCAAAAACATGTAATTCACGACACACATTCACTGACAAATCAATACGTTAAAAGTAATGCGAAACAAAAACAACAAAAATAACATAAAAAGCAAGGAATTTGCGACAAACTCAGTATTCAAATAGATTTCTTTTAAATGTCACAATATCCTTAATGTTCCTTAAGTCAGACAGATAGAGAGATAAATACTTTATTCACTGTTATGACATAAATTCATATTAAAGACAAAACGAAAAGAAAACATTGTCATAACAGTACCGCTCAACTCACACTGGCACAGAGTCGAAACGTCGGGCCGCATTCTGTTTTTCAACTACATACAACGCATAGCGACGCGCGTCGACGCGCGCATTTGTGCGTCCGGATCACAGCGTGGTCGGCGTCTGACGCCTCACTGCGCGGAAGTAACGCGCAATGAATAATGGGAAAATAGAGATGAATATGCTATAGGCGAAAAACATGACGCGTCGCGACGCTTCGATTCTGCGCCAGTGTGAGTTGAGCTTAAAAGAGCGCTGATTTTCAATCAGAACCAACTAAAATAATACTGTTACATATAATTTACACTGAATTTATATTTTTCAGGACATTCTATATCTATTCGGACTTCAGATTTTAAGCGAAATTAATTCGTCGCGATTTGTGCCTTTTTTTTCAATATAACTTTCCTGTCATCGAAAATCACACACACGTGCTGACTAGATGCCAAACGGCATATATTATGCATGACTGACGTATACGAAATGAAGTGTATGAGATTTTCCGATAGTAGTAGGTGGTTTTTATACAACTACAAACTAGTAAACTCATTAGAACTTTGAGTAGTTTCAGATTGAAATCTACGCCCTTTACAGTTAGGCTAAATATAGGTGAACTATAAAGTAGTAACATAGTATAATAAAACAAGTAAGGTAACTTCATACAAACGTAGCAGCGCGCACACATTCGCATAATCTGGCGGTGTACTCGCGTTGCATAACGCGGGTCATCTCACGCGCCATTAATCATGGAATGGACGCGGTCGCTCGGTATTTAAAAAATGACATCGAATTATAGACGTGTTTATTGTTTTGTTTGTTGTAGTTTGAACAAAAGAGTGCCTCAAACTCAAAACTGTTCAGCATTTTATTTCTATTTCATAATCATAAATTAATAGTAAATTTAACTGCCTCCTTGGCCGAACGGCTACTATGCTGATCTGCCACGCAGAGATCCCGGGTTCGATTCCTGAGCCGGGAGGAATATTTGTATGGCCTGCATTTA